TTTTTTGTAGATCTTGTGCTTTGCCGAAAAGGGTTAATAGCGATCGGGATTGAGATCTTGGATTTTGAACTGGTATTAAATTAAGTACCAGTTCGCATTTTTTTTTCTTTATCATTTTTTTAGTTTTTTTTTAGTGTTGTTACTAATGCTTGTTCTTTTTTTTGTAGGTCTTGTGCTTCACTAGGAAGGGTTAATAGCGACCGGGATTGAGATCTTGGATCTGGAACTGGTATTAAGATAAGTACTAGTTCGCAGTTTTCTTTTCTTGTCATTTTTTTAGTTTTTTTTTAGTGTTATTATTAATTTTTGTTTTCTTTTTTGTAGGTTTTGTGCTTTGCTAAGAAGGGTTAATGGTGACCGGGATTGAGATCTTGGATCTTGAACTGGTATTAAGTTAAGTACCAGTTTGCAGTTTTCTTTTCTTGTTATTTTTTTTAGTTTTTTTTTGTATTGTTACTAATGCTTGTTCTCTTTTTTATAGGTCTTGTACTTCATTGGAAAGGGTTAATAGTGACCAGGATTGAGATCTTGGATCTTGAACTGGTATTAAGTTAAGTACCAATTCGCAGCTTTCTTTTCTTGTCATTTTTTTTTTTAGTTTTTTTTTGGTGTTGTTACTAATGCTTGTTCTCTTTTTTTTAGGTCTTGTTCTTCACCGAGAAGGGTTAATATGAACCAAAATTGAGATCATGAACCCGAAATTAGTACCAAGATATGTACTGGTTTTATAATTTTTCTTTCTTTGTTGTTTTTTAGTACTATTACTAATACTTTCTTTTTTAGGTCTTGTATTTTGCCGGAAAGGGTTAATGGGATTAGGATTTAGAAGAATTATTTTACTCGAATGTAGAATTTTGATAATATGAAAAGTTGCTGGTGATTCTTAGATATAATTATATCTAAGAATCACCAGCAACTTAGGTTAGATTATGTCGGGACACTATAGTCTAATAGAGACATTATAGTCTAATAAAGATGTTATAGTTTAATGGGAACATTATAGTCTAATAGAGACATTATAGTCTAGTGGTAATATTATAATCTAGTGACATAATTTAATAGTAGCCTTATAATCTAATATCATAATCTAATGGTGACCTCATGATCTTCTGATTTATTTTTTTGGATATCTTTTGGGGTTCTAGATATTGTTTTAATTATTTCCATATATTTAAATTTTTGTCGATTGTAATTTTATAATCTAGTAGTAACTGGTATTACTTTAAACTAATGATAATATCACGATCTAGTGGTAATTGCTTTTTTCTCGTTTTTAGCATATTTTCTTACTGATATCTATATTAAGAGTGTTGACTTTCTACACCTTGTTTAGAAGCTGGATTTTACATTGAGAATACTGGCCCTCTGTATCTATTTAGCTGATAAGTTCTATATTGAGGATATGGGTTATCTGTGTCTCTTTGGATCCTAAAATTTATACTAATGATATCGCCCTCTGTATCTGTTTGGGTGCCAAATTCTATATTGAGGTACTTACCTTTTTGCACCTATTTGGTTGCCTTTCAAAATATCGAAATACTGTAGTGTAAAAAAAGAGGTGACAGATGGCGCAGTAATTTGATGTAAATCTGTGATTAATTTTGGCTGGCTCTATGATATAATTTTGGTTGATCTTTAGGATAAATAATTTGAGGATCCAACTCGGTGCTATAGTAGTGACCCGATAATACCTAGAACTATTACAGCACTGGCAAACACTGGTAGAGAATCAGAAAGGTTCTATTAGTTCTAGTTTCAGATCACTTCTTGGTTGTTGAATTATTGTGTCTAAAGTTCAGCTAGAAATTATGCTATAGTGCTGGCTAAAATTAAGCAGAATTTACTGCACCTTTGGTTCTGGATACTCCCCTATCACTTCCCTGTCTTTTTCTTGTTACTTTCAAGAAATATTTGAGGTTCGGTCTGGTGATTCAATTTGTTAGTAAATCGGAGGTATATTGTGTGATAATACTAGATATCTCTAGGAAAACTTGATATATATTTTCAGGGGACGTTTTTAGGAACGACTTTGGTATAGGAGATTTGTTTTCTAAAGCTTTTTATCTCGTGACCCAATCAGAACTTTTAGAAGTCTTCGACGCTAGTTCTCAGTACCTTTCTGTTACTTTCTGGTCCCATTCGAAGGTCTTACAGTACCCTCTATATTTTTTCTAGTGACAACTTGAATGTGAACTAGGACGGATTTTTATTGTCACCGGTTGTCACTGGTTCTGTATATTAACTAGTAACAGAACTGGTGATATATTCGTTATGCTTGTTA